ATTACACAACTCTTTAATATGACTGAACTACTGAATTGTGCTGTTAGGTGCCGTCAATACCCACCCATAGCAAACGTAGGCACAACAGAAGGATCCTACACTATCCTCACAATTAGTCCTATGCCTGAGCCCAGTGTTAAGGGAAATGAGGGGAATGAAGCAAAGAGGGGTCCCTTGTGAAATCATTCAAGTTGATTTAAAGAAGATTCATCTTTGCATTATTTGCCACTGTCTATGTGTTGTTATACAAACACGGTTGCAACCACTGTGTCAATCCATCACCTTGAGGGCCGGCCTTCTTCTCCTTCGCTGCCCCTCCACTTTACCAAGCATGATGTCCTTCTCCAGGGACTGGTCTCTCCTGCCAACATGTCCAAAGTACATGCCATCCTTGCCTCTAAGGAGCACTCTGGCTGTACTTCTTCCAAGACAGACTGGTTCGTCCTTTCAGCAGTCCAAGGTACTTTCAATACTCTTCTCCAGTTCACAATTCAGATGCATCGATTCTTCTTCCACCTTCTTTATTCAATGTTCAACTTCACGTGCATATGAGGCCATGGAAAATATCATGGTTTGGCTCAGGCTCACCTTAGTCCTCAAAGTAACATCCTTGCTTTTCAGTACTCTAAAGAGGTTTTACGCAGCATAGTTACCTAATACAATGTGTCTTTTGAGCTCTTAAATTGTATGGTTTCTGAATTATGTCAATGAAACTATTGTTTTTTAAAAAGTTGTTTTTATCCTCAACTGTTCATATATCATCTACAGGAAAAATAATCCAAAGAAATTAAGTTTCAAGGGACAAAAAGAACTTGAAGAGATAGTGAACTAAGTATTTGCACAGGATTAAGAGTATGAGGCGGCTAAAGGGAGCCTGGCTGGTGGGATACATTTCAAACTGCATTGTGGCCTGCCATAGGACCAAGTGTGAGCCAGAAGATATAGATTTTGCTTACATTTTCTCAGCTATGAACTTCCCTAGCAAGCAAACACAAAATTCTAGAGC